ACCACAGCGGGGTTGGATCAAGGGTTGGACTTGATGATCTCGGAGGTCCCTTCCAACCCAGCCGATTCTCTGATTCTGTGATTCTCCCCATCTCTCCCATCCACAGCCACACAACGAGTTGCCACGTGTGTCCCACCTGCAGGAAGCAGCTGCACGATGCCCTGGCCCCTCTCACGGTGCCCACGCGCCAGGGCTGCGCCGCCTGCGAGCACTGGCTGAGCACCAGCAAACCACGCACCTACTCGGTCCCCAGCATTGGTGACAGGGAGAGCCAAAGCCCAGCAGGCACCAGGTACCACCAGGCTCTTGCTCCTGCTCCCCTTGCGTGGGTCCACGGAGGGCAAAACTTCCCCCAAGGAGGAAAAAGCATCTCTACGTGGATGGAGCAGGTTTTGCGGTTGGAATTCATTTGGCTCCTCCAAGCCCAGTTTCGGCAGGAGGAAGTATTTGATATTTAGAAAAAGGTGGCTCTGTCGGGCAGCAGGTGTTCTGGGAAAGCCACACATTCAGGTGATTCAGGTGTCTTCTCTCTCTTTGTCTGTGTTCAGCTCTCCTGCCAAAGCTGTGGATGGGCAGAGGGGTCACGGTGCAGGAGAAGCTGGTCCAGAGTGGAGTGAGGCAGAGCAGCCCGTGGACCACAAAAGGTCTGTCTTCCACTTAAAAACACACAGATGTCATGGTGGGATTGGATAAAAATCACTTCAGAGTAGAGCAAATCTGTTTTTATCATGGAATCCCAGAGTGGTTTGGGTTGGAAGGGACCTTGAAGATCACCCAGTTCCCATGGGCAGAGCACACCTTCTACTAGACCAGGTTGTTCCAAGCTGGCCTGGAATGCAGATCCATGCAGTCAGTGCACAGCATTAATGGTGCTTCTCCACAGCAGCCACCACATCTGCCCCGTCTGTGAGAACTGGCTCCGTGCCCACGTTGGACAGTTGGACAGCAGTGCTGTGGCACCCAGGGAGTGGCAGGATGAGGGGTGAGTGTGGTGAGGCCGGTGCAGGCAGCTCTTCTGAGCAGTGGGCACCGGGGTGTGTGCCCAGTGTCCTCAACATGAGAGTTCAACTCTTCAGATAAAAACACACTGACAGTGCATGAATGCTGGCTCCACTTGCCTCCAGCTCTGTGTCAGCACAGTGGTGTGGTGCCTGCTTGCAAGCAAAGGGATGTGAAACTGGGGTGAGGTTTGCTCAGACAGTGCTTGAGTGGTTTCCTTGGGTGTCTCTGAATCAGCCCGTGCTCCTTGTGCTCACCTGGCTGGGCCCTGTGTTCTTTGGAGCTCTGGTTTTGGTTAGGCAGCAAAGACCCTGGTGCTGTGAGAGACCCTGCAGCTTCTGTTCTCCTGCTGCCCAGTGCTTTTCCCACCTCTAGGCATGGTTAGTTTGCTTGGGGCAAGATAAGGAGTTTGGGCAGAGCAGCAACCAGGTGAGCAAGATAATCCTGTTTGCTTATCTTTTGACACTTGCCCATGAGAATCTGATGCTCTCTCAGGCTCCCAAAACTTCCTTAACAGAGTCATCACTGATAAATTCAAATAAATATTTAGTTAAATAAACATGGTCTGACGTGTGCATCTGCTTGCTTTATCTTCAGTAAGTGTGAACTTCTTTTTACTCCACTTGTTTTGGGTTTTTTTCCATTTATGTCCCACTGCTGTGTGAGTGCTTTTAGCCCTTAACACTGGAGGAGCCATTGCAGTTCTGCATTCATGAATTGCTGCTTATTTGACTTTAAAAAGTTAATCTCTTTGAAATTGCCAGGGAAACCAGCTTTTGTGGGTGCTGGAGGCTGTGCTTTAGTGAGGAGCAGTCTGTCACCACCCCACTGGGACTCACCCACCCTTGTCTCTCTCCCCACAGCCCGCGGGGCCCCGTCTGCTCTCCCTGCACGGACCAGCTGCACCTCTCCCTTGTCCACAGCGACACGTGGAGCAGCCCCGTGGTGTGTCCCCTGGCTGCAGAGGGGACCCCAGCCCACCTCGTGCCCCAGCACACCCCCAGCTGCCACGTGTGCCCCGTCTGTGCGGTGCCAACCCACACACACTTGTGCCAGCCCCGGCACCAGGCACCCGACGGTAGGGACCCAAAACACCCCTCAAGTCACCAGGGGTGGAGGCCACAGCACCACAAACCTGCCTTTCCTCCCAAAGCCCGAGGGCCCACCCTGATTAAGCTTCTTGTTTCCCTGTTGCAGGATAAATCCAGCGGATCTGCGGCATCCTCGGGGCACGAGGAGGGGAATTCTGACACTAATCCCTGACACTGTGTGGAGTAATTGATAAAGAGTCTGGAAATCAAAAGCCACCCGGCTCTGATGGGTGCTGATAAGGTCAGGATACACTGAGGATGTTCCCTGTGCATGGATAAACACATGGATACACCAAAGAATGGAGTGGTGTGGGGACACCACATCCCCTCTTCCAGACATCCTGCAAGAAGGGAACGTGGTAACCTTTTGACCTCTGTCATCCATCCATCAGAAAAGGAATAGATGCTAACTTTATCTAAACCCAACCCTTATGACTAGAGTGATGCAAACTCCGAGAAAAAAGGTATGAAAAGGAGGTTAAGATGGGGAAAAGATCCAAGGAAGATTTCCATTGAAACTGCTGGATCAATCGTCGGGCTGAACCTGTCTTCCCATCCCCCTTTAAGGATGCTTATGGGGTGAGAAATTTAAACTTTTAAGGAGCTAGAGTTTGCTTTCTCTTCATAATGTGGTAGTAGGTTGCTTAAATCTGTATTTGTGCTTTTTTTTGTGGTATTATTACTTTGTTTCGAGCGTGTTTTGTAGACAGACTCTATCACCGAGGACTATAAACCTTTATTAGCTGGGCACAATTTGTGTTAATAAACTGTGTTATTTTGTAACTGTTAGAGTAAGTCCTTTTAATAAGGTGCTAATAGTTCTTCTGGCAACAGAATAAACACAAAGCAGTACCTGCTGAGAGGTCCCCATGCGGTTTTGATCTCCCAGGGACACTAACAAGCAAATATAATTTTTAAGAGCGGGGTAAATTTCCCCTTCCCTTCCCTTTCCCTGACCCATTGTCAGGGATGAAATTCTTAGTGCACTAAGGCAACCTGAAGTCAAAGGTGTGACTTCACCACCAATGACTTCTTGGTAAAGGAGCAGGAAAATCAAACACACTTCAAAACCCAGCTCCGCGTTGGTTTAATACCTACTTTGTTTATTTTTGTATGAAAAAACTATTTTTGCAGCTCTTAAAGCAAGGCTTTAAAAATTCAGTAAATCTTTCGCAATAGGCACCCTCTTTGCACAGTCTTACAAGGTTTATTCGTATTTTTTAAACTTTTTTTTTTTTACTGAGGTTCCTTTCCTAGCGAGCAGGAGCAAGCGTAAAAATTAGAGTATTTATAGAAAAACTGTTCTGTAAATAAAAGGAATCTAAAATAAGGAATACTGGTATGCTGGCTTGGGGGTTTATTTCGTGGTTACTAATCCAGCCTTCTCCTAGAGTGCTTGAAGTGATTTTGCAGCCTCATTCTTTGCCGGATGTAATCGAGCTCACTAATTGCTTCTGCTCAGATAATCGCTGTTGTTGCCCTGGCACCCACAGCTGTGCCCAGCCTTTCCTGGGAACCGTGATGACGGAGCTGAGGTGCCACTGCTGGGGTGGAGCCCGTGCCCACCCCGGGCAGTGCCAGGGAAGGTGTGTGCTCCTCCCCGGGTGGAACCTTCCCTCGGTCAACCCTCAGTGTTCCTGCACTGGTTTTATGTTCTCTACCCAAAAAACCAGGCTGCAGCTCCAGCGGGATGTTCCCAGGATTCAGCTCCATGCACAGCTCGTACTCGTTTTGGTTTGATACAGGGGACAAAATATTGATAAAGCAGAGGCTGTAACATTTGCCTTTCTGCTTTATCAGTGTTTGCCAAGAGATTGCATTGATGGGGGCTCTGGAAAACACCCAGATGGGGGTGGCAAACGGGCAGTGCCACAGGGAGGACAAAAGCACCACACAGTCCCCAGATCCTTCTGTTGTATCTCTTATCAAACTGGGGCACAGCACATTTCCATGGGCTTGTGCTGGCAGGTGTAAATCTGCTTGGAGGAGAGGGAGAGGCAATGGCCACCTGAGCATGTGAGCTGTCCCACGCCCTGCCTGCTGTCCCTCCCTGTCCCTGCTTGCTCATCCCTTGGAATGCAGGGCTGGAGGCAGCAGGGGCTGTTCAGGGGTGCCAGGTGGTCCCCCCAGTGTGCCCTAAACCTCACCTGGCTGGCACAGAAGGTCAATCTCATCTCTCGGTGAAGCGATGACACAGTGCTGGAAGCAGAAAACAGTGAAGAAAGTGCAAAATTCAATATGCAATGGTGCAAACATGGACACCTGACGGAGGTCTTGCGGTTTGTGGTGCCGTGGCATCGGGGAAGAACAATGGAATGAGGTGGAAGCTTCACAGTCATCTTCCACCTGATATTCCATAATGCTTTGTACAAACCAAGTACACCTCCCACCAGGAAATATTCTTTACAACACAACCACAAAACCCAGAAGCTTTGACCACAGCACTTGGCTCAGTAGGGGTTAATAAGGTATAAAACGTACCCTGTGTTTGTATCCAACTCGGGGAGAAGAATTTGACACGAAATTGCAGGGACAGATCGACAGGTTTGTCCTCCTCCCCAGAAGAGACGCCTCTTGGCAAGTCTTGTGCCCTCTGCTGTGCCAAGTGTTGACACGGGAAATTAGGTTTGGGATTGCAATGGTATTGTTAGTGCTCTCTGCAGCTATTCTGCACTTAATCCATTTACCACCAGCAATCCAAAAGAACTGCATATGTTGCATCCAATAAATCGTGCTGTTCATGACACCGACTGGCTCTTTTGAATGCAACCAGCCCTACAGTTCTTAGACTGGTCACACAACTCGTGTGACACTTTTGCAACACCTTGGAATGGTGCAACACGGTGTGGCAGGAGGACAAGTGCTCTTCAGAAAAAAAAAACACATCTGTGGTGACCTCAGGCTGTCCTTGAGTTGAGGACCAAGTGTGTGGTGACCAGGAATAAGGAGCCTTCACAAGGAAGACACTCCACGTGTTTACAACTGTTTGGGGTAAGTCACGCATGCTACGTGTTGGGTTATGCATCCCAAAGGTAAACTCCTTCCCTGGAATCGGGTGGGGCAGGAGAGGCCGAGGGGAGGAGGAAGGAACCCTGGCTGTTTCTCGTTTGTTAAGCGGCATCATTTCCTACCCATTAAACTATAAAACGGCAGCGCCCTGGGAGCCGCCGGAACAGGTGTGGGAATTGCCTCGGGAATTAGCCGGGGAGCCGCTGCCCACAGCCCCGGGGGCACAGAGGAGCCGAGGCACTCGTTCCCCTCAGCAGCCCGAGGAAAAGAGTCCCTTCGTGCAACAGCCGCGACAGGGATCCGCGTCCTCCCCGGGGAGAGCCGCGCTCCGCATCCCTGCGCATCCCGCGGAGCCGGCACCGGGAGGGACCTGGCACCGGGAGCAGCTCCGGGAGCGGCCCCAGCTCCGGCCATGGCTCTGCGCTGGCTCTTGGCGCTGCTGCTGGCACTGCCCGGCGCTTGGGGTGAGCGGGGACCCGGCGGGACAGGGGCTGCGTGGGGCCGGGGTGGGAAATGGAAAATGGGGCTGGGGCGGGGCTGCGCGGGGAAGGGCTCGGACGAGCCCCGTCACCGTCACCTTTCTGCCCGCAGGGGACTGCCCGCGGGCGCCGACTTTCGTCTTTGCGGAGCTCACCACGACCCCCGAGGAATCCTACCCCGTGGGGACCCAGCTGAGGTACCACTGCCGCCCGGGGTACGTGAGGAACGGGGACCAGGCCCCCGTGCTCACCTGCCTCCCCAACTCCACCTGGTCGGAGCAGCCCGACTTCTGCATCGGTGGGTTCCCCCGTGGCGGGATGGGGGGGCGGGCACAGCCCCTGCAGCACCACAAACCCCTTCACGGCTCAGCCCCGCTCAGAACGATGCTCCCCTATCCCTGTTTTAGGGCAGTTAAAACAAGTGCCCATCCTGGGTGTCTGCCCGGGGTGGCCCTTTTGCTTAGAAATGTTAATCTCTGGGAGATGATCTCTGCCATTCTGACTTTACCAGCTGGTGGTGCAGCGTTAGTGCTGTGATATATTCACAGAGAAACAAGAGACAGTGTGGAGGAGGCTGTGAGTGTCTGTTGTCCCCATGTGACACCCTGTCCCCATTCCCTTCACGCTATTTCCCTGTGGACCAAGACCTCTGGGTTTTTTATCAGTGTCCTTTTTCAGCAAGCACGTAAACCTTAGCTTTTTCTAACTTGTCCTCAGCCTTATTTGTGCTGTTATTTGCTTCTCATTTGAGTTTTAACTTTCAGTTCTCAGGAATTAATGTGGCTCTTGTATCTCTTCTGCAACTGCTAGTGCTTGCTCTCAGGGCAGTCAGGTGCCTGATAAACGGTCAGTTAGTCAGCAATGACACTGAACAGCTACTGTCACCTGCATTTCACTCTAATCCTATAAAATAAAGGTAATGCTGAGCACTTGCCCTTCCAGGAAAGTCGTGTGGGCAACCGGACATCGCGAATGGCAACTTTCACACCAGCACCAATCTGCTGCTTGGGGCGACCGTAACCTTCACCTGTAACATTGGGTAAGTGTCAGCCCAAGCTCCTGGTGAGTTGAGGTGGGGTGACAGCACCCAGGGGACACTGGGAGGCTTTGAAGAGCTGGGGCTGCTCCTTGGCAAGCACAGGCACGGCGGGAGGTGTTTGGAGCAGGGAGCCACAGGGGGTGGGCTGTCCCCCTGCTCTTGCTGTCAAAACATAATAATCCTCCGGGCCTGAGAGTGTGGACTTTGCAGATTGCTTTTTGGCTGCTTTGCGAAGAATTGGGTTCCTTTCCTGTTGCTGCTCGTTAGCAATTCAGCGTTTGTTGTTGCAAGCTGCCCATGGCTGAGATAAAGAGGGCTCTGGTGTCCTGGAAAGTGCTGGGAAAGGGAAGGAGGGTGGTTCAGGTATGTCAGTAACACCTGGCTCTGCTCAGAAAATAAGTTGCTGTTTGGATCTGCCACTGCACAGACGGGGCTGAACAGATGCAGGGTGAGATGAAGTCTTGCTTGTTGTCCTGTGAGCTTGTGCAAGAATTCAGTTTCCTCCAATTGCATCATGTATTGCATTCCTTTAGGTGTTGAGAAAATGGTATTTCATAGGAGGGCTGGCTGATTGTACCCTAGGGTTCAGCTTCTCCAGAGAATACCACTAGAAACTGTACAACTTTCTCAATTTCTCAAAGTTTTTGCTTTTTTTTCAAAGAGATTCAACCTTTCCTTTTCTCAGGTACCGACTAGTTGGGCCACCAACTGCACAGTGTGTATTTAAAAATGATGAAGCTTACTGGGATAACATTCCAATCTGTGAGAGTAAGCAGATCTTAACTGGTTTATGTACATCTCTTCCTCAACACTATTGCAACGTATCTGCTAGTCTGGGGACTGGCAGGTGGATTATGTCTTCTTGGCACCTAATGCAAATTCCTTTAGCCTTTAATGAGACTGACTCCTTACCCCTCCCCCAGATAAGTACTCTGGAGCTGGGAATGAAAATATAAATAGCAAGGAGGGTCTGTGGATGTTGGCAGCAGCTCTGTAGTCAGATCCATGAGAAACTTCCTTGCTGAATTGCTTTGTCAGGAGCTGTGGTTGACTGGGACTGAGATGCCTTCAGACGTGGCTGCACATCCAAAATCTTTATTTTCAAAGGGGAAATGAGGACTAAAGAGTCTTGATGGTGCTATTTGGGCTTTTTTTAGCACACTGTGGGATAGGCCTGACTGTCAGCTGCTGATAGTTTAGATGCTTTGCTGCTATAATGGATGTTCTGGCCTCATCCTTGTCAACATAACAAAGGTAGGAAGTGCCATCACTGTAGGTGAGGGGGCCAAACTGCCTGGAGAGACCACATTCACTGTCCCCAAAAGGCCTCTTCTGTGGTGGCAGCTCTTGGACAACAGATGCCATTTTGCTGTTTTCCCCTTTATCCATTTTAGAAAAACAAACTCTGGAAAACATTCAGAATGGAAGGGCACATTCCAGACTTTAGGATGAGGTGATGGCTTCTGGGGTGCTTCCCTGTCTTGTGGCTTTTTGGTTTGGGTTGTGGGGTTTTTGCTTTAGTAGTTAAATCTATATTTCATATTTGATGGAACCATTCCTTTGTTTCCTTACTGTTTCCTTCCCATGCAGTTATTGCCTGCCCACCACCTCCTGAAATCAAGAATGGGCAGCTCCTTGGTGGGGAAGGAGAATTCACCTTTGGCACGTCTGTAAGTTACAGCTGTAACAAAGGTTTTTCTCTTATTGGAGATGTCACAATTTACTGTACAATGGGTCCTAACTACCAGGGAACCTGGAATGGTCCAGCCCCTGAATGCAAAAGTAAGTGCTTGCTTTCTCTCCTTCTTATTCTTTCGACTTTGTTTCTCATCCCTCTCCCAGTTTGTACTTTCCTGATGGGCTGCCAAACATGAGAAGGTTGATTTGATCCTAAAAGGATTTCCAGGAAGCTTAATGGCCAGAGGCAGGATTCTTCAACCTGCAGAAATCCTCCCTCTCCCTGCCCATGCCCAGGGCTTCCTGCAGATGAAAAATGAAGCGCTCACGTGCAGCTTCCTTAATGATGTCTCTGTTCCAAGTAGTTGCACCCCACTGGGGACCTGCCTCTCTCAAAGTGAGAGGACAGCAGTTCTAATCTAGTAGGTGGCATCCCTGCCCATGGCAGGGACTTGGAACTAGAAGATCTTTAAGGTCCCTTCCAACCCAAATCATTCAATCATCCTATGATTCTCTTAGTGAGCTTAGAAAGCTTCTCGTGTCACTGCAGGGCTTTTTCTTCTAATAAATTTTCTCATCGTCCTATTTTCACTTCCAGTGGTCAGCTGTGAAGATCCAGACGTGAAAAATGGGAGAAGGTTGTCTGGCTTTGGCCTTGAGCACACATATGAAGATACAGTGAGCTTTGAGTGTAATCCTGGTTATAAAATGAACGGTAGTAGTGTAGTTACCTGTGAAGCAAACAGTTCCTGGACACCACCTCTGCCAACATGTGAGAAAAGTGAGTAGAAACAAGTTTATTTCCTTGAGCAATGGTGGTGAAGTGGGTCTAAGAGCTGTAGAGCAGGTCCACTTCAAACCTTGTGCACTTGCAGCCATGCCTTTGCAGAGGCAAGACCCCCTTGGGTCCTCAGCGTGGCAGCCCAGGCCCGAAGCTGTTTATTTGGGAATAGCAAATGATCCAAAAGTTTGCTGAAAGGAGAGGCACAGTTGTCTTCCACACCTGCCAGGTTTGGTTCAGCAGCTTGCAGACCTGTTGGGGATGTTTTGGCTTCGAGCTCAGCTGAATGGGGGCCCTGCAGGTTGGGTTGGTGGGCAGGGAAGGAGCATCTCTGAGGCAGATTCACCCAGTCTGGTTAAACAAACTGTGACATCCACTGCTCTTTGCTGAAAGGCTCGGATACAAACCATGTCCCAGACATTCAAGCAGGTTAAAATGTTGTGTGCTTCAAAGCATGCAGTTCGCTGCTGTCATTGCAGACCCCTTGGGTGTGTTCTGTAACCAGCCTTGTGTTTGTCTCCCATCATTAGTCCGCTGTGGTTCCCCTCCACGCTTCCCTTTTGCTGAACTACCAACACCTGTGGGTGACAGCTCTGATTCTGGAACCAGGCTGGACTATCGGTGTAACCCAGGATATAAGGCAGCACCTGGAAAGTCCTCTACTGTCATTTGTCAGAGGAATGAGACCTGGTCTGCTGCAGACCCAGACTTCTGTGTCCGTGAGTGTCTCCGTTCCTCTCCTGCCTTGCCCAGCTGTGGGAGGGATCTGGACATGCTTGGGATGTTACTCTGGGTCATGCCACGGGTTTGAAGTAATTCCTGTGCTGCTTTCTTTTCTTCTAGGACAGCAATGCTCCCCTCCCGAAGTAAAGAACGGGAATGTGGCTGGAAACGAAAAAACTTTCCCCTTTGAAACAGTTGTGAAGTTCACCTGCAATTCTGGGTGAGTGGGTCACTGCTCGGAAGGGACCATCCTGGGGGTCCATGGACAGGGATCACAGGCAGCTTCCTTGGTTTCCCAGTGCAAGTCTCCAGTGCAAGTGTGTATTTTGGCTCCAGTGAGATCAGTGTGTGGCTGGACACCTGTGCTTGGTGACGCAGTGAACTGCTCTGATTCAGCTCTTATTGGTGTTTTTACTTTGTGGCCACATCCCATTTCACAGCAGGATGGCTTCTGGTTAATCATTTGCCTGTGTGTGGTGGTTGGGGAGTGGGGAAAAACCCTTCTGGAAAGGAGTAAACTTCTTCTCTTTCCTTAGGTATAAGGTAATAAACCCTTCTGCCAAATGTGTGGCATCAGGAAATGGAGTTCGCTGGGATCCAGCACCTCCCTACTGCTCAAGTAAGAGGGAAAAACCCTGCACAGAGCCATTAAGATAACAGCTGGAACTGCTCTGGTGTGCCTTGCTGGTGGGCTTGGGCTGCTCTTCCTTGTGCTTCTTAATCAATCAACTCTAAAAAATCAGGATTTCAATACAACTCAAGCTGTGAGGCCTTTGCTGCAATATTCTTGTACAGTTCAGAAATTATGCTGCCAAAGGGGAGGGAGCCTCTCTTTCCCATTCTGTGTGTTGCTTGTTGTTTTCCATGCTCATTTGCTCCAGTTTGAGACACTGCTTGTTGTGTAGTTTATGAATAACTGTGCTGGAGGGGTGCAGAGTTTCATGTTTTGTCTCCTTTCCTTTCCAGGAGCAAACATGATCGTTGTTGGTAAGTAATACAAATTCCTGAACCCCTGTACTTGGCTCCTACCTGTCTTTGTTCTTGTCTCCTGTGTGTTCTGCTTGTAATGGGCTTAAAAGCCTTTTGTTACAGTCTCTGGTCACGTTGGTATTGTTGGTGCTTTAGGATCATGAACTGAAACGGGAGATGGGAATGTAAAGAGGAACAAGAAGGGAAAAGATATTTAACTATGTTTGAAGTGAAAACCAAAGCTTCTTATCTGTACTTTGTAGGAATCTTCCCCCTCCTCCTGGCAATGCTGATCATGAACATCTAAGTTTGGGAACAGGCGCAGTGAGAAGGCACCTGTAGACGTGTTGGACTCCATCAGACTGATCCCAGTGCTCTGCTTTTCCCTCCTGTGAAACTGGCCCTGGAGCAGCAACCAACAGCCCTTGGCTGGCAAAGCCCAGCTGTTCCAGCTGCTGCCTGGGAAGAACTCACACTCCTGGCTGCAGCTGCAGCACGTTGTGTTGGACACAGCAGCTCGTGGGGCTGGAATGGAGTGGGAAGCTCTCTGCCACCTGGCTGGAATGCTGTCCAGAAATCAAGTGCAGTTATCCCTGTGTTAAGTCACAAAGATGCCAAAGACCTTCAGGCTGTAATAGAGGAAGCTCAAGAAAATACTGAGCTTTGGGTACCTCTGCACGTTGGGTTCCTCAGCCCCTCTAAGGTCATGTTGTGCCTGGTCCTGATCAGGATTTACAGGTTTCTGAAGTGTCCTGAGGTGGAAAATGCTGCCCCTGCTGAGAGGGTTAAAGTGAATGTCTTCATGTGAGTGATACCTCCTTAAACAAATTACTTGAAACAAATGGGATGGATAAATTGGGCATTATCTGTAAGCACTGACAGCACTGAAAATCACAGAATTGTTAAGGTTGGAAAAGACCTCCAAGATCATCAAGTCCAACCTTTGACAAAACACCACCATATCAACTGAACCACAGCACTAATTGCCACGTTGAGTCACTTCAGATATTCACATTCTTCCTCATATAAAGCACAGTTGCAGCTGTTACTTCAAGGTGAATATGAACTGTTGTGGAACAGCAGGAATTTTACCTGAGAGAAAAAGTTTCAGTGCTTTTATAGCAAAGAACAGCTATTCTGACACTTCCTGTAGGAACTAAAGTTAGTTTTAAGCTTCAGCTGAAGGTTTCTGCCCTGGCACTCTCTTTGTATCGTGTTGAGGCTTCTCCACAAGTACCTCATGGAAACAGCTCCTGTCCCTGAACTCACTGGAGCTTCTCTGGAAGTGCTGAAGCTCTCAGTGGGCTGAAGGCCCCAGGAAAAGTGGAGCTGCTCCAGGGTCTGGCCTGGATGCAGAATTGCAGGTGCCACCAAACATCAGAGTCTCTGCATATGAACCTTTTTGCTGCTCAAGTGCCCTTTGCATGGGGTGACCGGTGTGAGGAATGTCTGAATTTGCATTTAAAAAGGATTTTTCAGGGGGTGCTGTACACCCTGACCATCCTGGCTCACACTGTGGGTCAGCTGGTGCCAGCTCAGCCTCTGGATGTCTCAGGGATTCCGTAGTGCTGGGGAGGAAAAGCAGATTTTTGGACTCTTGCCCCACTCGTGGCAGGGCTGAGGGGCTCCTGCACAGGGAGACTCTCGCTGTGATGCTTCATCCAAGGTAGGTGCAGATGGACATCAAGCCAAAGCCTTCCTGTGTTCCTCCGTGGGGAACAGGACACCAACCCCACACCTTTTGTGCACTTTTTCATCCTGTCTGACCCGACCCAGTTGTTGTGCTGAGGATGGTGTGTGAGGGCAGACAGAGGGGAGGGAGGGAGTGTGTGGGACCTCACTCTCCTTGTCTAAGCCAAAGGCACAGGCAAAAAATGCCCTTGATTTGTTTGGCTGATAGAAGGGCCACGCTGGGGCCTTGGTGTCCTTTCCTGGTTTGAGCTCAGCCTGGCTAAAGGATCACTTGATAAGCTAAAGAGGTGTCATCTCGTAAAATAAATACTGGAAGGTTTCCTGTTTATAAGGGAAACAACACTGTGATGGAATTTAAACTTGTTAAGCCTGAGACACTCAGACTTTTAGCTGCTGGTAAAGCAAGATTTTGAGGTTTGGGGTTTTGTCTGCTGCTGAGGTAAGTCACCCATCTGGGAGCTTCTTGTGATGCACAGTTGGGAGCAAAACCTGTCTACTACAGACTTTTTGTTTCTCCATTTTCACCAGTGGTTTCCTGTTAACAGGAACACACATCTAATAAGAAGGAAAAACACAAATAGCCATTTCCATCAACATGTTAGTCTTGTTCCAAATAGACCCACCAAGTTCTCTGTTCCCAGCAGAGCACTGTCCTGTTCAGCTGCCACAGGGGCACTGTGAGATCCTGTTTTCAAGCACTTTCCTGTTGCTAGTTATTTTTATTTATCTCTTACCATAAGCCATATGAGTGACTGGATGGACAAAACACCTCCTAAAGCCTTGTATCTTTGGGTTGTGTTTGGTTTTGTTATTTTAATCCCAGCACAGTTGTTCCTACTCCATCATCCAGTGATTTTTCTGAATGATTTAACACTTGATTTGGGGACCAGCTTGGAATGATCTCCCCACAACCAAATGAAAGGAATTGTGAATGCTGTAATGTAACTTACAGGCGTGGTTGCCAAAATTTACCACTGAAGAGGGTTTATTTACTGTGTGTGTAATCGAGTTGTACATGTTTTTACTTTATAATCTGAGTGTAAACGACCAAGGGCAATTCTGAAGTGTGAATGTTGGACATGTAAATATTGGAACCTCTCTGTCAATAAAAGGGATAAAAAGACTTGAGTAGATGTGCCTTGCTGCTTGTTTTAGGCTCAAGAAGTCTCACCTGCTATGTGAGGTGAGGAGCTGGAGGGTGCTGGGGCTGCTCCTTCCCCAAAAAGTCCTGTCTGAGGAGTTTTATTCTTCCAACCAGGGGCAGGAGATGAGCCCTAGAGCAGCCAGGGTTGGGTTAGGAGGATTCAGGTCCACAACTGCTGCTGGTCTCATGTGTATGGGAGGAGGGAATGGTCCTCTCTGCCCTTCCCATACCCAGGTGAGCTGTGCTGTGTCTTTTCAGGTGCCATCACCACCGGGGAACCTGAGACCACTTCCCCAGGGGAGGATGCTCTGCACCACAGCACAGCTCGGCTACAGCACCTCTGCCTGCACCCACACCCCCTCTTCCACAGATGCCCAAGGGTCCTGCGGGCCCATCCTCCCCTTCCAAACCAGCAGCAGCAGCGTGGGGCACCTGCAGCCTCCCCTGAGCCGGGGAGCCCACGGGTTCCTGTCCCGCGGCCCCGGGAAGTCCCGCGGCTGAGGCTCCTTCCACAGGCGGGGGGTGCTGGGGGGAACTGGGGTGTCCATATCTTCCCACCGCCCCCCCAGGAGCCACAGTCTGTGCCAGGGAGCAGAGCATGGTGCTCACCTTCACCCTCTGCCTCCTGGGCAGCTCTGCTTGGCTCCTGATCTCCACGGCTGAGGCTCGAGGTGAGTGAGACCGGCAGGTCTGGGACCTTCCTCCCACAGCTCTCCTCTTTCTCGTGGCTGCTCCTCTCCTTGCTGATCCTTTTGCTCTTCCCTGCTGGTCCCAGGTGGACCTTGGCATGCCAGACCCTGAGCCTCTAAGCTCCTCTGCTAATAAAAAAGACCCTCTGGGATACTGTTGGAGCCACACTTGAGTGACTGGGTAAAATGGGGGGTTTAATCTTGCAATGGGAGCTGTGGAGGGTCTTTACCTACACAGCTTCTCAGATCAAGGGGCTTGACCTACATGTTTAAACTGCTAAAGTAAAGCTGGTTGTGGGTGCAGCATCTTCCAGCAGTGAGACAAGGAGCTTGTTCCAAGAATTCATTGGGTTTGACCTCTGACAAATTGGAACTGTGGCAAACAGAAATGCAGTGGGATGGGGCAGGAGGGTAAAACGGCCAACAGGACAGTGCTGGTCAGCATGTTTGGTCTGAAAACATGCAGGGAGCCCAGACACCCTCTCATTTGGGATGGGACAGACACAGAAACTCAGCTCCATCACTGCAGGTGGGCTTTTTTTCCCCCTTCCCATATTTTTAGTGTGGGTGCTGTCACTTGGCCGCCCTGGCAAGGTTTGAGCAGGGTGGAGTAGACTTCTGCCTGTATCCTCAATTGTGTAAATTAGTCATTGGCATCTTGAGAGACCAAGGCTGACCCTCCTGCCTTAGCTGGCTGTGGTGGCTCAGTGGCAGACAAGTGGCTGCAAAG